TGCAAATTTTGGTAGACATGATCAAGAACGCCTCATCTATGCATTGCTCTTGGCAGCTCGAAATTGTCAAACCTGGTGAGTGGCCCTTTAAGAAGAAACAAACGCTTAGTTCAGGGCGTGCCTGTCCAAACAAGCATATTGACAAGGCTTCTGCTTTGGGGCGTGACTGTGGTTGTTTACTGTAGTTGGCACTGAAGTTAAGCACAATAATTGCACATGTAATTGGTTACTGACAGTGGTAGTTTAAGTGTACAAGTAGAAAAGTTATCAGTTACAAAACTGTCAAGAATGCTCCCTCACAGCTAATCATGTGTTATGATGTATAAGGCTTGAGATTTAACTCACAATTATTTACCGTGCTTTATAGTATTTTCATTTAATCTACTCTGTGAGCCAGAACAATAAAAATGCAGTTAGTATAAAAAAAAGTTTTCTGTTCTGCATAACAGAGTTGCATATTAATTTTAAGTGGCCTAAGAGACATGTAATTAATTGCTTGTTTACTTACCGTGGCACTATCAACATCTTCACCTTACACCTATAGACAAATTCCACCGGACTTGCGTCACGAAAATGCGGTGGCGCTGTCTTGGTAGGCAAAAGACTCTCTGCCTTCCGCAATTTCTGCTGGGTTTTCAGTGGTGCATGTGGTGTTGTTCTCAGTCAAGCAACGAGAAGAAAAAAAAAAAACGGTATACCGACGAACTGAGTTGCGGTTGGATGTGAGTCGCGTCTCACAACTTAGTTTTGTTTGTTGGCGCACATCGCAGCTCTCAGCACTTATGGCTTTCACAACGCTTATGGCATCTCACAACGTCATTTTGTTGGCGCACATCGCAGCCCTCAGCGCTTATGGCGGAAGTTACGTTCGGACGTCGCAATAATTTTACCCATAATGTCGACATCGGCCTACCTGTATATACAAACATGGAATGGGTCTATATGCTGTCAATGAATTGTAATATATAGCAAAAAAAGACACTTATCTTTTATTTTACTGCTAGCTTCTATGCGCCTTTAAGTCTCACTATCCTCACTATCATAAACTGCATTGGACATTTCCTCGAACAAGAACAAACTGAACAGCAAAGGGTTCATTATCATAGACCATCATGGGTAATTGAACGGATTTGTGCAGGCTTTGAAATTAACTACATCATACGTTTTTTTTTTTATTTTTCACTATGAATTCCTTATCATATCTTCACACCCTTACAAAAAATTACTAATATAACCTGCCTTTGTTTGTGTATACCAGCTAATGTGACTGTTATTTAGTTGCTATTTTGTGAAAATGTTTGTTTAGAGTATTGTATGTTTAGGGTATGTATTTCTGGTTGTTATTTTTGCATTTTGCTATTTTGTATGTCAGAATAACCTTAATCGTTGTCATATATAATCACTATACTTGTAGTGTCATGTGTATGTGTGTAATCTACATTTGCATCAGTAATGACGAATATAATTACGTATGGCATCAGGTGTTTACCTGCCCCTTAGCCTAAATCTGATGTATAAGGAGATGAGAGCCTATTCAAATGGATAATTGCTCTTACTCTTACCCTTTCTATCAACTTTATATTGATGGAAATAAAGTTAATATTGTTGTATTTAAGGGGACAGGCGAGTAAAAAAATACAAGTTTTTCCAAAATTACACATTTTTTATTTCATTTGCTTTCACATGTTTAGTTTCTCTACTTTCACACACACACACACACACAAAAAGCAACTGAAAATTGTAATAAACTCATAGTGGGTTAAAATCACTTTTACAGAGCACAAGGTGGCTATTAAAAACGAAAAAGAGCTCATTGTCTAGAGTGCCCTAGAAATTGTCACCTGACTGCTTTCCATTGCATTTTGCATGAGTTCCCTAAAGCCACATGCTCAAAATAACATTGATTGCCACGCTCTTTTGATGGAAGAAATCATTTTAGCCCATTAAAGCCCACTGTGTTTTACAAAGTACACTTTCTTTTTCGGGAATAGAAATCAAGCAAAAGAACATTCAGACCTTGCTCATTAAAACTTCAGATGCCGAAGCTTGCAGCAAGAAAATCATGACTTGGTATATAGACTCGGTTTTATTTTGTCTGTTTTGCGAGTCGTTAAACTTCAGGAAAACTAAAGTCCGTAAAAGGCATGTGGTCAGTACTCCTTTTTCTAATGAGGTTTCACAATTTATATGTTGAAAAAGTGGGTTGCTCGTGTTTCAGCAAGAACAAAATAATCCCTGCAAAGCGTGAGAAGTGTATAGAAAGCATAGTTTTGTTTTGAGGTCTAATGAAATGTGGGTGTACTTTGTAGACTCACGAGGCTGCGAGACTTACGAGGCTGCGACAGATGGGGCTGTGAATATATAAGCTTTCGTTGATGTTTTTAATGTTACTTCTGACCCTAACGCTGAACCTTAGGAGCAGGAGTGGAATGACAATGGTACGAATATGGATGCTCTCTGCCAACGATAAAGAACATGGAATGAAAGGACTGTGGGAAATTTAGTTTCTGTGTTTATCCAGAAGACAATTTGTATTTCGTAAACGCTGAACACAGTAGCGTAGTTGGTATATCGACGAACAACGACAATGTGTAGTTGCTATGCTCTGTAATCAAGCAGCCATCCACTGAATAAAAAAAAAAATGTAGTGCCACTTTTAACTCTCTTCAGCAGCTTTAACAATGGCATTAAAGGGGCTGAGCTCTATGATCTACAAAATTTTGATCCCTGCGAAAGAGCGGCATCAGCCTTTATTTACCTAGATGAACAAAATAGCCGAAGACAACGCAGACAGGGCCTGCTACTGAACTGGAGGTTTCAGCAGACCCTCTATGCATTGAATATTGTCGTTTAGTTGAATAATAGCAAGACACTGACGAAGCTTTGTTGTACCCAGCAGAAGGTTCTAGGGATAGTCAGCGTCTACTGGGCTTGCTGTTATCCTCTATCCATACGGGAATTTTCCCAAGAAGCTTGAAAACTATGAAGGTCTGCCAAGATACATTGAAATAGTATTGTTAGAAGTGTGGCATCACACTTTCCATAAAGCTCAGGTGCTTCAATAAGTTACACGGGCCAAGATAACTTCGGTATTTGTTTGGCAAGGTCCTAGCGTACTCTCTATTCTTGCATCAAACCAGTTTTCCTGTTACTATGTTGAGAGTCCAGCATACTTTTAAAGTAAAGTGTCATAACTTCTGAGAAAGTTCATATAAAAATTTGCACGCATTATTTTTATTGCATTTAATTAAATGTGCGATATCTATAAAATATAACCAGTAGTTCCTGCATGGACCTTAATGGGTTAAAAACATATCTTTGCCGCATAGATGAGCGTTGATATACACCTTTAAAATGTGCTTTTCTCAAGATCAAAATCCATTTTTGGGCAGCTTCTTGAGATTCAGACATCATATTTTTGGTACCTCTGATAGCCATATCAGGATGAAATTTTGCCCACATATTTCCTAACATGTTAAGGGTAGAAGTATCTTCTTTAGAACTTCGTATTACCTGTATATAAGTATTATGAACCTGAAGCAAGCAGTCAGTGTGTGCTGAAAAATTCTTACAAGTTTTTTGTACTATAAAATGCCTTATGTGCACTCTATTGATAATTATTTGCATTATACAGTAAGGGGGATGGTAGGGTAAATGGCATGTGTCAGAGTGTAATATGTTAGAAATGGCTGCAAATATTCCCATGAAATTGAACGTGCAGACAAAAAAGGCCCCGGGTATCAAGTGACACCCATTTTTTTATGCCTAGGTGGCCTATTATTCGTCCTATGTTCCACTCCCAAATTTTAAAAGGGGTTCTTCTATTCAATGCACCTTTTCTCTCCAACTACCAAAAAGAATGTAATGATGTTCAGCCGCGTTATTGTACAGATTCGTAGGTTACATCTGGCCCCACGGTGGTGGTTTGGTGGCCAAGGTACTTGGCTGCTGACCCGCAGGTTGCGGGATCAAATGCCGGCAGTGGCGGCTGCATTTTCGATGGGGGCGAAAAGGTTGTAAGCCCGTGTGCTCAGATTTAGGTGCACGTAAAGAACCTCAGGTGGTCCAAATTTTCAAAGCCCTCCTCTACGGTGTCTCTCATAATCATAGGGTAGTTTTTGGGCGTTGAACCCCACATATTGATCAATCATTAGGTTACATCTGAACTAAAAAAATTATAACATTTTTTATGAAGTTTTTGCAAGAAAAAATAAAATTACTGCATGCACAAGGCCCACAGAGAGTGCGTATTGTTGTATGATTTGTTTACAGCTTTACTTTTCATGAAATCAGCAATTCTTTTAGTTCAGGATGTTTCTAACTTGTAGCTCACGCATACGAAGTTTCATTGAAATCGATTGAGTACTTTTTGAGAAAAGGTACATTGAAGCTGGAAAAAATTATTAAAAAAACTGCAATTTGAAAAACACAAAAAGGTTTACGTGGGCATACTGCTTACGCAAGAGGGCGTGCGGCGCATTTCGGCGGCACAGCATTTAAACCGCTTGGAGCAGCCGCTCGACGTCGGGCTTCTGCAGGTTTGTTTCTCACGGTATAGGGGATTTCTAGATGTCAAAATTGCAAATTTGATTTCCTGGGGGGTTCACCCTACCATACCCCCGTAATATGGAGCAATGTGAGCCATTAATGGCTCAGGACCATTAATGTTTAGTGGCATAAAAAGTTAGTCCCTAATGAACTATACTTCACACATTATGGCACAAAACAAAAACTGCACAGCTTATTGTTAAACTAATTTCATATTTGAAATCAGCATAAAAGCCTGTATATGCAGCAAAAAAATTCATTGCCCGAGGCTACAAATTAACAAAACTTTTTTTTTTATCACATCTATCATTAAACTGACAGTTCAGCAACTGTGGCACCCTTTTCTTAATTACAGCAGATTGGAATGTATCCTCAGCTGTGCATGCAATGTGTCGGATTTTGTGGGTTACTTAGAAGCGTGTTAAGAATTTTGTATTTCACATAAATTGCAGAAGACAATCCTCGAAATGCAAGGGCCTTCAAGCTTCGTACACGGCTTTGTTTGCTGTTGGAAGAGTTGCTCCTAACAGACTTGGAATTTGCCCTGGACAAGAAACTAGAGCAGGAGCTATGGAATAGTGCTTTTAGGAATCCTATTGCAGCATTCCAAGTCAAATCGACTGACAAAAAGGTATGTGGGACACACGTGTTCAAGTTTGGTTGATGGTACCACAGGTGAATATGTGGTAAATGTTAATGCAGTACGTAGTATCATTAGTTTGTATCCACATTGAGTGGCCATCTGTTTGGAAAATCTTTTGTCGTTGTCCATTGAATCTTCATGTGGTGATTAGTACATCTAGAAATGGGACCATTGGTAATCATGCTGCTAATTTGCTGCTGGACCTAAAGAGTGTAAGCAATGCTGCCAGGCTGCGCGCAGGCACTTGGAGCTCTTTGGCTATCCTCGACATCCAATGTTAGCTGTTTCACTGCTTTCGTTACATTTACAGTGCAAAGGCACAATAGGCTTGTTGTACAGGGCACAACAAGTACTGACAGTAACTATCGGGGTAGGTACACAGTTACAGCAGGTCTTCATTACTGGGCAAGCTTTTACATTTGAACCCAAAACTTTGTGTAGTACCACTAACACTGATTACTTGCTAGTTAGATAACTGATTTAAAATAAGATTGATACTACCATAGGTTGGTATTTTTTGTATTGTGTGACTACATTTGTAAAAGTTGAAAAGTACCATTGCATACCCAGACAAGTGATAGCATGGAGGTTCAGTGGTTGGGGCATTGTGGTGTTGGGCACAATGTTGCAATTTTCACTCCTGTGCACACTAGACTCCTTCTTTTGGAGGCAGAATACTCCATGTCCTTAAATTCAGGAGCACGTCAGGGATGTCAACCTGGAATCTTCTATTGCAATATCTTTAATAGGCCCGGGTTTGCTTTGAAATGGTTAATGCTACGAATCAGTTAATAACCGACTGAGGCTAGCTAATCTGAAGTGTGCTCACAGGCATGTGATCTCTTGCAATGAGAGCTGTGCCTACTTTCAGGCTTTTTCAGTGAGCGGATACACACATTTTGTGAAATTAACACTTTTTAGTGCTAATTGCCTGCATATCCTGTTTTCTAGGAAAGGGCAAATGGAGAATGCCACTCAATGCTGTCTACATTATTGGAGACAGCCAGTGGCTTCTATCTCCAGGTACTGTGTTCTTTCTGTGCACCCTTTCTTTTTGATATGTTCTTATTTCTTTGGAGTGTAGCAGTTGCTTAATAAAAGATTATTTCAGATAGAGCAGTTGTTAAAGGGCATGTATTGCTGTGTTGTGTAATTGATGATTACTGTAAAAAAAAAGTAACAAATAGTGGCCGTTGCATTTACAGATGTCATATAAAGGAATGTGCAAATTACAGGGGATACAGAATGAAATTAAAGTACTGTTTGAAAAGGCTAAGGGGATCTGATAGTTGTGTGAAACATCAGAGTTTCACTACACTGGGAAAGTTCAAGCTGTCACTCAAGAGTGGCTATTAAATGTTGGATAGGAACTTTCATTGCAACAAGGTGTAAAAAATGTCCTGTTTTAAGTTTGAGAAAAATTCCAGACAATGTGTGCAATAATGGAGGCTTTTAGCTTGTACGTATACTTCTTTACGTTACCATGTTACCAGATACTGGAAGGAGTCTGGGCTTTCATGGGCCTTTACGGAATGTACACTTCTTTGGAAGTTAAACTACTCATGGGATAGGCTTTACGTTTTCGCTCCTATCTTGCAAATCCACCTTTTCTTATGACTACTGGCGATATCTGCTTTGTGGTCCGCCACGGTAGTGTACTGGTTAGGGTGCTCGGCTGCTAACCCAAAGGTCGTGGGTTCGATCCCAGCTGTGATAGTTTCATTTCGATGGAGGCAAAATGCTAGAGGCCCATGTGCCTTGCGATGTCAGTACACGTTAAAGAACTCGTCAACAATTCTGGAGCTCTCTCTGACAGTGTTTATAATAATCATATTCTGGTTTTGGGACGTAAAACCCCAGATACTGTATTTACTCATGTAATTAATGCACTCACATAATAAAAGCACCCCCAACTTCAGTCGTCAAAATCTGGATTTTTTTTCCCCCCGCGTAATAAACACACACCCCACATTCATCCGCTGCAGTCCTGCTAATTGACACCTAGCATCTCCTTACCCTTTGGATCTCTTCCGTTTTTACTATTATGCCTGCCCCGGCCACCTCCGCTCTCTCTCTCTCTCCCCTATCACCCGTTGCAGCATGCCGTATTATTTTTCTTTCTACCTGTGTGCGGCACGTTCTCAGTCTTTTTTATCTATACGCTACTGCAGGGTTCATGAACAGTGCGAGTGTAGATGTCACAGCTGATAAGTACGCAGCAAGCGAAAGTCACCAAACTGCCCGCACCAACCGACAGTTGCTTCTTGCAAATACGAAACTTTAAGGCCCAATGACGTGCACACGATTTTCGAGCAACGACAAGAATTGCTGTCGTGAAGGGTCATTCATCGCTATCGCGTTGCAGGCTTCGTGATAACCAGAACAAATCACTTGTTGCCCAGAAAAGATCGTGACGATTACCACAACATGGTAGCACTCTCATTCCTCTCTTTGCTTGTTCTCCGCACGTACAGGAACTTTTTATGTGGAAGCGAGGCGGCGGCTGCATTTTGTCATTAATCTTGTTATCGACGGTTTGTTTTGATGCTTCGGGGGTCGCTTGCTGCAATATTGGTTACTTGCTACAGTGTGAACGACATCATTGTGGTCGTTGTGCGAGGTTGCTGCGAAGTTGGCAAAGTTGGTTGTAGCGCACGCTTCTGGGCGCCCTTCGAGATCACAGCAGATACCACTGTTGCGTTCAAACAATTGCGAGAAAAGATAGCGCAAAACGCTTTTATGGCGTGCGCAGGCGACGTGGGGACAGCTTGTAGAAGATTGCGCAATCAACCACCGAAGATGAGTGAAAAGCAACAAAGAAGCTACTTGCAAACAGTGTACGCATATGTCCTTTGCGAAAGGCGAAGCGATCTAACTTTTTTTTTATTGCATTACCGTATTTTTTGCTCATCCCGAAAAAGTCTTAATAAAATTTTTCCCGCATAATAAGTGCACTACCAAATCTGCTCCGTGTTTTGAAAAAAAAAAGTCCGTTTTTTTTACGCAAGTAAATTCGGTATTTATATCTGATTTGAGGAGACTCCAGCCACTAGGTCAAGCCGCCGAGCAATCACCCTAATTGTATGACCTAGCATGCCGAAGGGGTAATCGTAAATCACCCCTGACAGTCTGGATAGATGGCACCTTGTAGTGTGGCTAAGACGAACAAGGCTGTCACAGAATTGTTATTGCATAAGCATGGTGCATTCTACTTCTCCCCGCAGGGGCGTCTGCGTAAGCAGGCATTGGGTGTGGGGTAACACAACGGACCTGAGCTAATGGGAGGGGGGTGGGGTGGACTCCCTCCCACACTTAGCTTTGTGAGGCATTGCGGTATCCGGGGAAAAGGGGATCCGGGGAGTTGAGCCAATGCTGGGTGGTTGTACCTTTAAAGCCCGCCAGCGGAGGCAACATACCCCTTTTGCCTCAGCTTCACATAGACTGCACCCCTGGGCTGATCCACTTAGGGGAAATCGACAGTCGCCTTTTTCTATCTGTCTTTCTCCCTTCGTCTTCATCTTTCTCTCTCATTCTTTATCTGTCCTGTCATCTTCTCTTTTCCGTTTATAGTATAGACCACCTGTAACGTGTGTCGCGGGAGTCGCAAATATCCGCACTATAGTATAAGTGGTAGAGCACTTACACCAAAAGAACCTCTTTCAAGGGCTGCTATTGCGCAAAACAAGTTGAGCATGCATGCTCGCGTGTCGGAGAACTGAAGCATGCGATGCGTGTTGCTTACAACCATATAAATTTTCAAATGTGAAAAAAAAAGTCCAAAGACATGTGCGGCCAAAGAAATGAACACAAGCTAAAAAAGAGGGGGGGAGGGGAGGTCTAACAAAGTAAGCTCCATCGCGGAAATTCGTCACCTACTTCTAACACTGCCGCGATTATGCACATTACACAGAAACTGCGTCGAACCACGTCCGGAATTTCGAGCACGGAAAAACACCATCATTCGATTTCTTGGGCGCGCACCCGATTTCAAGACATTGCAATCAAATCGCCAACCATCACTATTCGAGCACTACATAGGCCATTCTCGTTTTCATTAATGATATGTGTCCCTTCCTGTCAAGTGCAGCCACCGCAAAGAGTTTCGTTGATTTTGTACCCAACCGCTACTTAAAAGTAATACACGACCGCTACTGAAACACATCTAACATCGATTAGGCCTATCCTGCCATTCGGTATGTTGTTGCAGCCAGTTGGTCCAAGACATGAAGATGCGGCGTTGAGCAGCTCGCACTCATGCACTGAACCAAGAACAGCGTGCGTGATGCAGTTTGCATTCGCAACCAGGAGATCAACAACGACAAAAACCCACCAAGCTTACGTAAGACCGTGCACTGGCAGTAAAGGCGAAAGTTCACGTCATAAAATGGTAAAATTTTTAAAATTTATGGACAAGGTAGCAAACGTGATTCTGTAGCAAGCTTGAAAGACGAAATTCACACAATGCCTACCAAGGTAAAAAATATATTCACAAAATCCTTTGCTATCTTATGTCACAGCTTCTGTACATAATCCTACTTTTTTTGTTTAGTTTTTGTGCTTATTTTGCGGGCTTGCTGCTTCTGCATAAATGAATATGTAAATGCAGGGGCATTAAACTAAATTAAAGCTAAATTTTCCTCCCCTGTGTATGTCTTGGAAAGCCCGTCTGTGCTACAAACACAGAGGTAGCTGCTCCAAAAGCCGATTTTCGCTGCTCCAATGGCTGCTCCAAAATGCCGGAAGGCATTCCCACTACAGCAATTACATTCTGCTTCGTCATCCTGTGGTGTTGGCATTATGGTTAATCAAGGAACAACCTGTACCAATTTACCGCTTCAAACATCCCTTGAGGCGATAGCCGTCCGAGTGGTTATCAACGAATTGGTCACAATTTGCTCTCTTTACATACCTTCACACCACCAACTGAAAAAACACAAATTACAGTTATAATAGACGAACTTCCAGAACCAAATCTTCTCCTTGGAGACTTAACGCACATGGCAGTCTGTGGGGTGACTCCCGCTGTGGTGCGCGAGGTCACCTGATTGAACAGTTTGTTTTCTGTTTTGATGCATGTCTCCTAAGTTAAAAAAAGCCTGCATTTTATAGCCTCGCTAGCAATACCTACTCATAATGCATTGATAGACTTAAGTATTGTATTTCCATCGCTTCTACTTCAACTCTAATGTGAAATCATCAATAATCCCTACACAAGTGATTGCCTTCCTTTATTTTTAGGCACACCACAATCAAATGAATGTCGGACATTCATTTCAGTGAGCCACTTCGGAAGCAAGCCCTCCACAGCTTTCGAAGTGGCTCATTGAAAAAGCCAAGAAGAGCAGTCTTATAAGATTACTAGTTTAAGTTAGACTGACATATGTGGATCAAGCACAGATGCAGCTGTACAATACCTTACTGCTTTTTTGACTGATGCTGTAACTAAGTGCATCCCACAAATATCTGGATTATCCGTAAAACGACGTGTCCCATGGTGTAACACTGACTGTCAAAATGCACGCAAACAACAAAACAAAGCATGGAAGCTGCTTTAGGACTCACCGAGAGCTGAGAATCTTGATGCCTAGATAAAAATAGTCTCAAGACAGGAGAACATGCCGACAGGCCAGAAGGGAAAGTTGGCAGACGTTTTTATAAGGCATCAACTCTTATACACAGGAGGCTGGGGTCTGGAACATGGTAAAGGTACCATAAAAACCGACATATAGTCGGTTTTTCTTTGAATCTCTGAAACTTTGAATCTCTGAAAACTAAATCTTAAAAAATTGCTAAGTATCACCGTGAACCCTTACTTTGATAAATATGCAACACAACCAGCTGCACTGTAGTGATGTTTCTTTTTATTTTGGCACTTATCTTATGTAGTCTTATCTTACGCCAGAAGGCCACAAAGTGCTGTCACTCAGACTCGTCCGAACTTTAGTCCGATGATGTCTGTTTCTCGCTAGTCACGTCCCAGAGTACAACGTCCTCCGTTCCATCCAATGCTTTGCTGATGCAGT